AAAATAAAAAATAATTGCGGGTCCTCCCTGGAGTCCGAATTCTCACCCAGCTGGCTTTATTTTCCATCTTCTACCCACCTCTCCTTCCCCTGCACTTCAAGATGTTTGCTTGGGTGAATGTGGCTTAGATACCATGGATTTTGGGGGCTGGATCCAGAACTCCTTCCTTCCCCTGCAATCTTGAAGGCCAGACCCATATCCTATTCATTTTTGCTTTTCTCGTACCCGGCACAATATCTGACATATATTACTGTTTGTTGAGTGAATGAAGGTTGGGGGTTGGGAGTAGAAAGAAAGGTGTAAATAAGTCGCCCATTGGAGCCCACTCCAATTAGATGGTAGTGAAGAGGGTGGTGGTATGGTTTTGACTAAACTCCAGGGATTCTTTTTTTTTTTCTTTTCAGTAAAAATGCTACCAGAGCTTCCTCCCATATCTCCAGTTTCTTCCACTGGCCCTTCTGAAACCACCGGCCTCACAGAAAACCCTACAGTTTCCATAGAAAAACCCACCGTCACCACAGAAAAGCCCACAGTCCCCAAAGAAAAGCCCACCATTCCTGCAGAAAAACCCACCATTCCCACAGAAAAACCCACCATCCCTACCGAAGAGCCCTCTTTCCCCACAGAAAAACCCACCATCCCCACAGAAGAGCCCACCATTCCGACAGAAAAACCCACCATTTCCACAGAAAAGCCCACTGTCCCTGCAGAAGAGCCCACTACCACCACTGAGGAGACCACCATCTCCACAGAAGAGGCTGCCATCCCCACAGAAAAACCCACTGTCCCCATGGAAAAACCCACTATCCCCACTGAAGAAACCACCACCTCCATTGAAGAGACTACCATCTCCATAGAAAAACCCACCATTCCCACGGAAAAAACCACTATCCCCATGGGAAAACCCACCATCCCCACAGAAAAACCCACTATCCCCACGGAAAAACCCACCATCCCCACGGAAAAATCCACCATCCCCACAGAAAAACCCACCATCCCCACGGAAAAACCCACCATC